GCTGCTTTCATTTTTTTTAATTATTATTATTTTAAATGTCCAGCATGAATGCATCCGTGCAGGCTTCTTGTGCGTAGGTCATCGCAGCCTGCCATCGTAGTTTGCTTCTGGGGCAGCAGAAATAGAGAATAATGGGGAATCACAAACACTGTCTGATGATGTACTAATGCTTCTGCTGTCAGACTGGTGAAGTGGAAATGTAGCGATTAGGCCAAAGTGTCCAATAAGTTATCATCAAATGTCACGGCTGATGTGCGAAGCCTTTAAACGCCTCCAAAGATTAACACGTATACAATTTACAGCTTTAAAAGCCTGACGTCCTTCCTTTTTTTTTTTTTCTCATTGAAAACACTTGGACTCGTCCACTGTAGATGCAGGTAATCACATTAGCCATACCCAAGACTTGGCTCCTACAGCTTTAAAAATCCTCTCCTCCTTCTACAATCGTCGCCCTGTTCTGTAATTATGCTCTTTGTTCAAACTATGCACTCTCTACGCTTATGACCACTAGTATCTACCACAGACTCTTCACGACCCTTCCTTCATTGATCTGTGTTGTTTCCTTTTTTTTTTATTCTACGTATCTTCAAATATGTGACTTGAACCATTTCTGTTAAGATTCAACTTTCCAATATGCTTCTAGATCTTTTGCCTCGATTTCGTCACCGTGACGCCGCTCACCCAAATTTATCACTTTGCTCTCAGAGTAGGAAACAGACATTTTTTATTTTTTTTATTTTGTAAATTTCAAACCAGCAGTAATGCTGCCATTGTTTTGTTCTTGTTTTATTTTGTAGATTTTCATTTGTCTGTCTGTTTGTTTTCACAGTCTTGTCAAACCTGTGTAAGGAAAAGAGGATAGAAGAAGATATATTGGTTTTTATGTCAATAAATTCAAGTTTACTGTGGCCACCCACTCTTGTATGTCTTTTGAAGCATTAAAACCTATCTGTATGCATGAAATTGTAAAGTTTTTTTCTCTTGTTATAATTTTTGTAGACCTGATTTCCAGTCCACGTTAATCATCAGGATACAGTTGAAAACGAGTAAAACAAAGTCTTGTCCAGAATTGTGAAGTGGAGGAAAATGATGAACCTGTATCTCTACCAAAGCCAATGTTCGTTTGTAGTATATTTATTGTACTATTTAAAATGGAAAAATAAATGTTAAATGACACCATAGTGTAAGTGTAACAGCCCCCCTCTGTACGTGCACACAGGGAAACAGAAGGCCAGAAACCCTGCCACCTGCCTTTACATATGCAGCCCGTCGTGACCCAGTTTGTCCCAATGCATGTGGACCTGACAGCTGTCACAGATGGTTCTGTGTTTACGGCATCTGCACTGAACGCGTGCAAGTTTGTGAGAACCAAAACAGGAGTCCGGGAGAAATTCGTCAAACTCCTGCTAATTGCATACACGTGACAGCTGCCGTTAACGCGTGCGGCAGTCAGGGCGAGGCTTCGCTGTCGATCGCAGGTCAGATAACGGCGCCAGACAGACGCTTCCGGGGCTGCTTCCTCGAGGCAGACATCGCCGAAACAAAACTGTCTTAGAACTGATGGTGAGATTTTGTTTTTGTGAATATTCCTAATCTCAGTACTTTAATCCTCACTCCTGGTAAACGTTTATACTGCAAAGAAAATATTCAGTACGGGGTCTTTTTTTGGCTTGGGAGCTACTATTCAAATGACCAGGCTAAAGTACGTTGAAAAGCTTAAATATATATTTATTTATTATTTTAAGTATATATTATACAGTGAACATATTTGTTGCATATAGCTCTTTGGCACAACATAATTCATATCACCTTTACTACAAACTAAATATATATATATATATATAAATATATATATTTGCAGTTCATTATATGCAGATAGAGCCTGTCTATTTATTTTTAATGTTGTTTTTAAATTTATATTTAAATAATGCAGCAGCAGTGAACCAGACAACACCCAAACCAGGACAGGTTTCGCTGGTCCACATCGTTCCATCGTCTACTTTCAACTAAACTGGAGTAGAAATCAGTTAGGAGCAGACAATGTATATATATAATTACTATTATATACGTACATATATAAACATATATGAATATATGTGTGTATATATGTATGTTTTTATATGTATTTATATATGTATACTGTATCCAGTACAATCCTTCTAAGGATGAATTGATGAAGTATTGTATATGTAGTCAATCCATCCATCCGTTATATATGGCCGAACCAGTCCATGATTGATGGTACATACATTTGGGTTATACTGTATGGAGATAAAGGATTCACATTTGAGGGGGCAGATCCACATCCTGAGAGGTGTGAATGTGGACGGCTGACGCTCTGCTTCTCCAGTATTACCCCCCCCTGTGGTTGATTGACAGCTAGCCTGAACTTTGCCAGTTTCTAACCATATGTGATTTCTGAGGCTTGATCAAATCAGTAACAGTGGAGCCGACTCTCAGCTCTTCAAGTGTCTCATTAGATGAAATCCTGACTCTGTGCTTGTTAAGTCCAGAGGTGGAAGCCTTGAAGTGGATGATATCGTGATCAATATTTAATGCAGTATTTGCATGAACGATGAGACTGTGAACGCACCAGTGCAGCATCCCCGGGAGAGTAAAGCAGAGATGAAAGCTGGAAAAACACACGGTGAATGTGAGCCCAGATCTGTTAACACGAACAGAGGTGGAAGAACGATTGTGGTGAAGAGGGTTTAACTGAGGGGACGGGGGTAAAAAGAAGGATTCACCCTGTCAGGAAAAGATCCACGCGATTGGTTGTTTTGGTGATAAATTTAAGACATACGTTCTTGCTGACACAACCTTCACGAATGTATCTACAGTACTAGGAGGATACTGAACGGGCCCCCGCCCCCCCGCCCCCCCCAGTGGCTGGTTGAAACCTAGGAACTGTATTATTGTAAATTTACTGATGTAAAAGTATAGACTTTTTTATTGTACTATAACGTCGTTATTCACCAAAAATATGATTGTTTTTGCTAAAATGTGTTAGGTGTTATGTTAGGATTATCATCATTTTTTGTATATATGTCGTATATTGCCAATTTATTCTTATATATTTGCACTTATATTCTAGTAAACATGCCTTTTTTCTCTGTACTTGAACTAGTAGTATTACAACATTATTCGTACACATTTTTCTAATAATTAATTAATTTTTGACTATTTCATTATAATATGTCTTGCATTTTTTAAATTAAAAATAAATCTCTACAGTTTGTCTTTAATACTCTGTAAAGTAGAAATGTCAAGTTTTCCCATTTACCATGCACTCTTCTCCATAATCAGCCTCACCACCTACACCTGCTCTCCTGAGGTCTCCTCTCATCATGTGATTACCTGATGGGCTCCACCTGTGGCCCCGCCCTCCTGGGTCTATATAAACCACTCTCAGTCTCTGCTCTGTGTTGATGTTTGCTGCTGTGATTTTTTGTTGTTGTTGTTATTCTTCTTCTTCTTCTTGTTCTTCTTCTTCTTCTTCTTCTGTGCTCGCTGGTATTTTCTTTTCTGTAGGTTTTTGGGAATTCTCCTATGTTTAGTTCAGTGCTGTGTTTTCAAAACTCCCTGAAAGTGTGATTTATATCTGTGTTTACTCAGTGTAGCTCGTGTTTTTGGGACTGAATCTTGAACCACCTGACATGAACGCCTCAGTACTCGGGCGTCAAAGAGTTTTTTTTTTTTTTTTCTTTACCTCAACTGATCTGACAATAAAGTCGAACTCTGCAATCATAAATGTTGCAGCTTTTGCTAATGGAGAGAACACAGACATCAGTTCTATCAACTCCCAGTAAGATGGTCGCATCCCAAGTCACTGTTTTACTCTTTGCTTTGTGACAGTGTCGTCCTGTAGGACCGACAGAGGGCGATCTTCTGATCAAGTAGCCTGCTCAGTTTTTTTCGTTCCGACCATGTTGTTGTGTAAACTATCCCTTAGCGCAATGTAATGTTACCAATGCCATTTTATCAAGTGATATATCTATTGATTAATATGATGATAAAAAATCATTGTAAGCCAATCAGAGAGTGCTGTGTAACACACTGGGGGGAAAAAAAAAAACACGTTTCGACTTCTCGCAGAAGACGTTGAGTCGTCACTCCAATCTGTTCTTCTCTTAATGTCCTACTCTGTTCTCATTATCTGTGCTCCATGTCTGTATGTGCTATATTCGGACATGTCATCAGATATCCTGCTGTGTCAGGACCATTCCAGAATCTTTCTTGTATAAGATGTGCTGAACAAAATGCTTGAACTGATGATCGTCGCTTCATTCGCGCTTTCCGCTGCGAGCACATACATCTACCTGCTGTTATTGGTCTTTCTGTTTCAGCAATGTACAGGAAAAAGTTATTTTTGGAATATTGTCTATCAATCCATCAATTCATATGCTGTGATTAATCAGCTCTGGTTCAAATGTGCTCCTCAAAACCAAGCTGTAGGTTGAAGAAAGTTCGTGAGAAATAGAAATCTGGAGGAAGGACTCTATAAATAATAACACAGGTTTTCACACTGCTTCCTAAAAAGAACTGTAACCAGAACAACCAGTACTGGAGACTGAAGGGAACACAGTATATCAGTGGTAGTCCTTTTATTTTTATTATTGTTATTATTGTCACACCTTTTTTTTCAGCCTTTGGCTGTGTTTACGACTTATACTCAGGTGCGATTTATATATCAATGTATATAATTTCGCATGTTTATTTTCACACCGACAACCGCTACAGGGCACTCTAT